GACCCTCGGGGTGCAGCTGCAGGTGCGCTGGGCGGAGACCTCAGGAAGGGCCGCGGTGGCCGCCTGTGCAGACAGAGGGTCGCACCGAGCCCCAAATGGACACAGGGAGAGTTCGCTCCCCTTCCAAGCAGCGCCTCCCAGTTCTGGTGGAGCTGCCTCTGGCTGAAGACAGCCGGGCTGCGGGCTCAGAGCAGCAGGTCCCCTTCCCCCATCCCCGTATTGCAAATCGGAAGGGTGGGCAGAAATATTAAATGGGAGGAAGAACAAAAGCCTCTGCCCAGACCAGAAGTAGTGCTGGGGAGGAGGAGACTCGGATCAGTCGGAGTCATGACTACAGCATGGATTTCAGTGAATTTGTATAATTCTTCCAACCCTTTACTGCTGATTTTGTGTAGTTTCCAACGTTCAAATGAAAAGTTGAGAAGAGAAAAAGGAGCCCGGGTCTGAACTTTGCTGTCTCTGAAACCTGGATCCTGGAAGGGACCGACGGGATCCAGCAGTATTCCAGGCGCTTTGCCGGCAGTTTACAGATTCCTCAGTAAGAGCCTCTCTTGACAAATGAAAAACAAGGGGAGAGAAATACTTGGTCAGGATGACTCAGCCAGTTGGGTGCTGCACTGTAGACGTATAATCCCGGGTACTCAGGAGGCTGAGGCAGGAGGATCACAAGTCTGAGAACAGCCTGGGCTGTTAGGGAGTTAAAGGTTAGCCCTGACTACATACTGAGATCTTGTCAGAAAAAAGGTAAATAAATTAAAATGAAGCCAGGCCTGGTGGTGCAAGCCTGTAATTCCAGCACTCGGGAGGCTGTGGCAGGAGGATCTTTCAAGTTTGAGACCAGCCTGGCCTACAAAGTGAGCTCAAGACCAGTTTGAACTGCATAGGGAGACCCTGTCTCAAAAAGATAATAATAATAATAATAAATTAAATAAAATGAAATGAAGTTCTATAAAGGGTGAATGATAAGTTCAGTGGTATAGCAGTTGGCCTACCATATAAAAGCCCCTGAATTCAATGGCCAGCACTAAAAAAACCAAACCAAAACAAAAAACTGAACAGACTGTGAAACGTAGAACTTTTTAAATTTCCACTTTATTTATCTGGTCCTTTGTCATCTTTTTTTTTTTTTTTTTTTTGGTACTGGTACTCGAACTGTGGACCGTACACTTGCCAGGCAGGTGCTTGTGCTGCTGAGCCATATTCCTGGTCCTTTTGTCCACCTTTTATTGTTTTTCCCTTTTTTTTTCTTGGGTGTTAATCTTTTTTATTATTATTATTTCTACATATTTTGGAACCTCACATAATTTTGATAAATCACTCTTACAAAATTATACAAAAAGTACAAGAATGTCTGGTAAACAGTCTGTATTTTCCAAAAAGATTTTTTGCAACATGCATTTCTTAAGGTAGCATCCTCCTTAGAAGGATTAAGAAAGCCTGGTTTCTTCCATTAATGCCTTTTGTTTTTTTTTGTTTTTGTTGTTGTTGTTGTTTTCCGGTACCGGGAATTGAACTCACGACCTTATGCTTGCCAGGCAGGCGCTGTGCCGCTGAGCTAAATCCCCAGCCCCATTAATGCCTTTTGTCTTTCCTGTCTGATTTTCGATCTCTTTCACTTCTTGAAGACCTTTTGCCTGATCAACCTCTCTCTGATATAGACCTCTTTCTGTCGGAGCGGGAATTCTGATCCTTTTATCCTTTTGCATCACTGCTACTACCACCTTTGGAAGATGTGTGACTTCTTTCTAGTCCTGAAGTATCCCTCCACTTCCGATCCACACTCCTCCAGTGCTTCCTGTCCCTATTACGTCCCCGGCCTCTACTCCGACTTCTACTTTCACTACTACTAGTAGTGCTGCTGCTACTGTCTCTGCTGCTGCTCCCACCTATGCTGGAGCTGCTGCTGGAGCTGCTGCGACTACTACTGCTGCTATTGCTGGAACGGTTTCACCACTGCTACTACTTGAACTGCTACTAGAACTACTCCTGCTACTGCTTTTACTTCTACTCTTGCTTGTGTTATTTCTAGCAGGACCTCTACTTCTGCTCCTAGTTTTGGTTTTGCTTTTACTTTCTGAAAGTATCCTCAAGACTGGCTCTACTCACACCTCCATGAGTTTCACAGATTCTACAGGAACCTCCTTCCGCTCAGGTAGTGAGTTTCCTTGGTCCTGAATGACCTGAGGTGACGGCTGTAAAACAGCTGATGGCAAAGGCTGGGGCTGGAGTACTGGCTGGGGCTGGGGCTGGGGCTGGGATTGGGGTTGTTTCTCCCTTTTTAAAAACATTTTTAAAAAGTAATTTTATTGGGATGTTTTTGGGGGTTTTCTTTGTTTGTTTGTTGTTGTCTTTTTGAGACAGGGTCTCGCTATCCAGTTCAGGCAGGCCTTGAGCTCACTTTGTAGCCCAGGCTGGTCTCGAACTCCCAAGGATCCTCCTGCCTCAGCCTCCTGAGTGCTGGGGTTACAGGCATGCGCCACCATGCCCGGCTATTGGTATATTTTAGATACACATAATGATACCATTCATCATACAGAATTTGTACCTGTACACGATCCATCATGATTCTCCTTTTCCCCCTTTCCTTCACCTCCCTTCACATTCCAGTTTT